GGCTGGGGATTCGAACCCGCCACCTTAGGTGTACGTGGCTGGCGCCTTAGCCGGTTGAGCTATAGGCGCCGAGCCTTTTGTTTGTCTTTAGAGACAAAAATGTCACTTGTTTGCCCAGGCTGCTACATAGTGACATGATCACAGTTCAGCTCACTGTAGACTCAAACTCTTGGGCTCCAGCCATCCTCCCACATCAGCCTCCAAAAGAGTAGCTGGGACTATAGGTAAGCACCACCACACCCAGTTAATTTTTTAATTTTCTATAGAGATGGAGTCCTGTTTTGTTGCTCAGGCTGGTCTTGAACTCCAAGCCTGAAGTGATCCTCCCACCTTGGCCTCACAAATTTATAATCTCTTCTACCTTTGATTCCCACTTCCATGATACCTGAAGGTAGGTTTAGGACTGTTTGAACCACAAGGATTGGAGAACTAGTAGATTGAAAGATAATGGCCTAACTGGCTGGGTGGGAAGAAAGGAAAGAAAGAGATTAAAGGAGATACAAGAGGGCACCACAGGGGAGGGGGGCAGCTCCAATAAGATGAGGCCCCATACATACCTATAGCTCGCAAGGTCAGGCTCAGAGAGGAATTCCCGGAGAAGCATTCCATCTGTCATGTAGCGGAGCACAGTTCGCTCTGACGTGCAGTCCTCAAAGCGGATGCTGTAGCCAACCTGGCCATTAGTGACTGAGAGTGGGCTGGTGTTTCCAAGAGGGAACTTGGGGTAAGGTGAAACAGGGCAGCACCCAGACCCGTACTGTGGAGCCTTGAGGGCAGTGGGGACACAGTTCTAGACCTTGAGGGCTTCCCTCACCCCTCAGTTCCCCAGAGATCTCACCTCATTCCCAAGCTTCACACCCATCTCCCGGGCCACTCGGGCAGCCACACTCATTGCCGCCACTCTCCGAGGCTGGGTGCAGGCAATCTTCATACCCTTCCTTGTGTAACCCTGAATGACAAGAAGGTTTTCCCTTTGCTTAACACACTCCCTGGGGCCCAGTTGCAATTCAAAGAAAAAAGTTGTAAAGCCCAGACAGGGTAGCAGGAAAGGAGGGAACAGACAGAAGTTGAAAACCAGAAAAGAAGGGCAGAGAGATAGGATGACAGACCTAGGGCTCTCAAAATGAGTCCTCAACCAGCCTTGCGTAGCCAAATTCAGGGCTCTGCTAGACTGGAGTTGGAAAAGGACAGATCAGCTGAGGCAGGCCCAGAAGCAACAGTGAATAAGAGAAGGTAAAAAAGCAGGAAGATAGTCGGGTGCGGTGGCTCATGCCTGTAATCCTAGCACTTGGGAAGCCAAGGCCTGTGGACTGTGTGAGCTCACAGATTTGAGACCAGCCTGAGTCAGAGCAAGATCCCGTCTCTAAAAATAGCCAGGTGCTATGGTGGGCACTGGTAGTCCCAGCTACTCAGGAGGCTGAGGCAAGAGAATCACTTGAGCCTAAGAGTTTGAGGTTGCTGTGAGATATGATGCCACGGCACTCAACCAGAGTAACCAAGTGAGACTCTGTTTCAAAAAAAATCAGAAAGATAGTCTTTTAACTCTTCATTCTTTGGAGGCTGCATAAGGGTGGAGGCTGAGCTGGGCTGGAGTATGGGGAGGTCCACGTTTACAGTCCCCTCCATCTATCCTTCTCCATGTCCTTCTAACCTAAACATTCCTAACATAAACAATGCAAATACCTACCAGTCCTAGACACTGTGGCAGGAAGTGAGAATGGAAATGTGAAAAGGACATGTTCTTTATTCTCAGGACCTTACAAGTTAGTGGAAAATATAGGCAACTGACTCCAAAATACGTAAAAGTTGCTCTGACAGGACTGTACTCATCCATGCAAGTGGTACCAAGGCAAGCTGGAGGGTGTGATGACTGTACCTCCTCAAAAAGATACTGTGGGATTTGGGTAGTCTTCCCCGAGCCAGTCTCGCCTTCGATGATTAGGACTTGATGATTAGCAATGGCAGCGAGGAGCTCCTCTCGGAATGGGAACACGGGGAGGCTGCGGCGGACAGCCTGGATGGACTCTTTCTGCTGAGCTTGGGTTGAAGAGGCTGGAGCTGAGGGCTCCTAGAGAAAGGGAAGGAGGGCTGTGAGCTGGATGGGCAGCTTCAGGTCCTCCTCAGAATCTTCCTGAGCTGTCGGTCTTACCTCGTCACCTTGGAGCTGAGTGGCCCGTACAAACTCAATGGTCTCCTCCTCCTCCAGCACCAGCTGGTACTTGGGCTCCTGGGAAGCAGCATCTCGGGCCCCAAACTTCAGGGATGCTGCCCCTAATCGTGCCTCCTCCCAGCGTCGCTGCTCCTCTCCAGGGGCACCTGATTCCTCCTCCACTAGATCCATAGCTCGAGCTGGCTATGAAGAGAGGGGATATGTGAAAACCCAAAGACAAAGGATAACCTCTCTGTGTAGTCCCCTTCTCTCCTGTCACTATCCCCACCCATTGCCTACTAGGAAAGGCAATTTAAAGAAGGAGCCAGTTGGGCGGCGCCGGCCCCATATGCCGGAGGTGGTGGGTTCAAACCCAGCCCTGGCCAAAAACCGCAAAAAAAAAAAAAAAGGAGCCAGTCAAGGTGTTGCCCAGTTCCCTAAAGTCCTCTCAACTTGAGGACCAAGGCTGAAGCAGATGTCACTTCACCTTACCTGTCCTCGGGTCTCCTTGGGCATGTGGTAGCGATTGGTGGCCTCCAGCTTCTCCTGCTCCCCAGCAGCCCGGTACTCCCGGGCCAGATCCCGTACTCGCCGTTTATATTTGAGTTCCCTGCGCTCATGCCGGCTCAGCTCCACATCCCCAAAAAGGAACTCCTCATCAGCCAGCTCTGCTTCCAGGTCCTCAAGCTTCTCTCGCTCCCTCTTAGCCAAGTACTCTCGGCGGGATTTCTTCCGCAACTCAGGGACCTGGGTGGGAAGGTACAGTCAAATTCCCATCTTGCTGGAGCAGCAATCCCTTTCTCTACCAATCCCTAGGAGTGACAAACTCCCTGACAGGCAGGTGTAAGGATTTATATATGTACCCTCCACCTTCCCTCTGCAATGCACAACCAGACCAATGAGGTGTCTCAAGCTAGGTCCAGGCTGAGACAAGAGAATTGCTCAAGCCCAAGAGTTTGAGGTTGTTGTAAGCTATGATGCCACAGAAGTCTGCCTAGGGTGACAAGAGTCAGACTCTGTCTCAAAAAATAAAAAACAGACATTGGGTGGCGCCTGTGGCTCAAAGGAGTAGGGCACTGGCCCCATATACTGTAGGTGGCAGGTTCAAACCCAGCCCCGGCCAAAAACTGGAGGAAAAAAAGATATTTTGGGGGGTAATGAGAGAAATTTTATTATAGACAGGTTTTATCTGATACATAAGAATATACACTAGTCCTCTTCTTGGGCATGACAATGGTATTGTGGTTTTAGAGGTCAATGGCTTTATTCTTAGGAGGTACTTGCTTATGTACATAGGGATGAAATACCATGACACCTAAAACTATTTTATATGGTCCTTTAAAAAAATCTAACATTTACATAAACAATGCAAATACCGTACAAGGTACAGCCATTTTGAAATCTATACACCGTATATAGGAATGTTTACTATATTATTCTTCCAACCTTCCTATTTGCTTAAAAAACATTTTTTTTTTTTTTTTTTTGGCAGAGCCTCAAGCTGTCCCCCTGGGTAGAGTGCCGTGGCATTACAGCTCACAGCAACCTCCAACTCCTGGGCTCAAGCGAGTCTCCTGCCTCCGCCTCCCAAGTAGCTGGGACCACAGGCGCCTGCCACAACGCCCGGCTATTTTTTGGTTGCAGCCGTCATTGTTGTTTTGGCGGGTCCGGGCTGGGGATTCGAACCCGCCACCTTAGGTGTACGTGGCTGGCGCCTTAGCCGGTTGAGCTATAGGCGCCAGGCCAACATTTTTTTTTTTTTTTGAGACAGAGTCTCACTTTGTTGCCCCCAGTAGACTGCCCAGGTGTCACAGCTCACAGCAACCTCAGACTCTTGGGCTTAAGTGACTCTCTTGCCTCAGCCTCCCCAGTAGCTGGGACTACAGGTGCCTGCCACAACGCCCAGCTATTTTTTAGTTGTAGTTGTTGTTTGGCAGGCCTGGGCTGGATTTGAACCCACCAGCTCTGGTGTATGTGGCTGGCGCCCTAGACGCGGAGCTACAGACGCACAGCCAAACTCTTTTTTTTTTGAGACAGAGTGTTGCTTTGTAGCCCTCAGTAGAGTGCTATGGCATCATAGCTCACAGTAGCCTCAAACTCTTGGGCTCAAGAGATTCTCTTGTCTCAGCCCCCCAAGTAGCTGGGACTACAGGTGCCTGCCACAATGCCCGGCTATTTTTAAAGACCAGGTCTCGCCTTTGGTCAGGCTGATCTTGAACCCGTGAGCTCAGGCAATCCACCCGCCTCAGCCTCCCAGAGTGTTAGGATTATAGGCATGAGCCATTGTGTCCGGCCTTTGCTTTAAATTTTTTATAATTGAAAAGAAAAGAAAAGAAAAATTAAATTCAGGCAAATAAAAACACTATGATTGCATTTACAGATGTCTTATAAATCTCTGACCATAGTCAAGTTGCAGGGTGGGACATGAAATTAACTAGTCAGGAGAGATCTGGGAAACACTAGGTCATTCTTAGAATGCCAATAATCTCAGAATGCTCTTAAGCAATTTTAGTGTGACTTGACTGACAAGACTAGACCTTTGGAAAACTGCCTGTCCTACCTATACTCATACCATAAAAAACCCAGTTTATGAATTAAGGATTCTGTTTCTATCCAGTGAGAAGACCAATTTAGGAAGTCACAGGGAGATCAGTCATAGGGGGGTGCAAGGAAAGTATCCAGTGTGACAGGAAGGTATCTGGAGACGGTATGCCTAAGCTAAATGGTCAGGATACCCCTGTGCAGTAGGACAGCTGCCTCAGCCCCGCCCTCCAGCTACCTCCCTGACAACATTCCAGCTGCCTCACATCTCAGTAAGTCTTAGCAATAGGGAAAGCTCACAATCTAACTCATAAATACGGAGAGTGATTTGATCCTAAAGTGAAGATATTTGGCAATGGAAGACTACAAAAAGGAAAAAAAAAGAATGAAAAATATGGGGAAAAGAAAAAAGTAAAGCTTCTCTCCCTCTACAACTTAAAGAAGGTTCCTTCCCTCAACAATGTCAGTTGTTGGCTCGGCGCCTGTGGCTCAAGTGGCTAAGGCGCCAGCCACATACACCTAAGGTGGCGGGTTCGAATCCAGCCTGGGCCCGCCAAACAACAATGACAGCTGCAACCAAAAAAATGCCAGGCTCTGTGGTGGGTGCCTGTGGTCCCAGCTACTTGGGAGGCTGAGGCAAGAGACTCGCTTGAGCCCAGGAGTTGGAGGTTGCTGTGAGCTGTGATGCCACAGCACTCTACCCAGGGGGAAAGCTTGAGGCTCTGCCTCAAAAAAAAAAAAAAAAAATGTCAGTTGTCTTTAGCTGTCTCCTGTCAAACAAACCTCCTCCTCTAGAGACCTCACTGCACCATCAACATCTCCACTGCATTTCATCTGTACCCTTTCTCCTTATGACTAACTACTCTATAGAAGGTCTCTCTTTTTGTCTTCTGATCCTGGCTCTTGAGACCTGGGGCTCACCATGGCTTTCCGGTCTTCCTCAGCCATCTTGAGACGCTTCTGAGCCTCTTCATAAGCCTAGAAAAGAAACCAAGAGTGGAGCAGTATGAATCCAAAAAGTCCTCTGCCTACAGTCAATTGCGTTCCTCTTTAGACTCTCAAGGATCAATCAGATGAACCCTAGCACAAAGAAATGTCCACTCTCAGTGAGGAATCTCTGTGGCTATGGGTACAGAAGAGAGTTCCCTTAGCTAGAGCACCCATGAGGTCCTCTCACCATAGAGATGAAAGCATATCACTTAAGATAGCCTCCTTGTCCTCCTAGAGATCACTATCTCTGCAATCCCATAAATCCTGGGGATTTATAGAACATCATGCTGCCCCTAAGTACCTTCTTGTCTGACCGTTCCAGGACATTTCGGGTCCGATCCTTGTCCCGCTGTCGAACTCGCTCTGCAAAGGCATCACGTTCCTCGAGGTCCTGAAGGCGCTCCCGTTCTGTACGTTCCCACTCATCTTCTGACTCTGGCTTCTCTGTCTGCTGATTACTCCCCCTGCAGCCCAGACCAGAGGATTAAATAAGGACATCCAGAAGACTCAGCATCTACCTGCCCCATCCTCTCATCTTGCTTCTGACTTACTCTGTCTTCCTCTTCCCTTTCTCAGAAGTGTCTTCCTCCTCTTCTTCCTCGTCCTCCTGGTGCTTTTTCCTGAGGTGTTTCCGTTTTTTACGCTTCTTCTGGAGGCTGCTCCCAGCTCTATTCACAGTCTCCTCACTGCTTTCCTCACTGTCTTCCAGCAACTTATAAGATCGGTTCTTCTCCAGCAGGGCTCGGGCCTCCCGTTCTGCAGCCCGACTTGGTTTTTCCAACACCACTTTCCGTGGTACCTATCAGCAGAGGAAAAGATAAGGGGGTCTGAACAACTCCTCATCTCTGCCCACCTATATAGCTCTGTTCCTAATTTAAGGGATTACATGGTCTTAAATCAGCCTTCATTCTCTTTCTTCCCTATAGCTTCATCCCATGTTCCTCAACCTGAATGGGTCTCCTCAGCTTCTGAACTTCCATTCAGTTATTTATTTAACAAGCATTTATCAAAGTCTTCCGTATGTGCTAGGTACTTTCCTAGGTGCTAGGGACACAGGAATAAACAAATAAAAAAAAGAATATACCTGCCCTAAAGAGCTTACTATTTTTTTTTCTGAGAGTGTCACTGTATTGCCCTTGGTGGAGTGCCATGGCTTCATAGCTCACAACAACCTCAAACTCTTGGGCTCAAGCGATTCCCTTGCCTCAGCCTCCCAAATAGCAAGAGCTTACATTCTTAAATCCAACTGTCAATTACTTGGGTGCTTTCCCACAGCTCTGTTGTTTCCAATGTTTAAATCATGCCTACACAAGGACTGATACGCTGGAAGCATTATTGTGCAGTTTGACAGTGGATGTCACATGCCTGGTATTGTACCAGACTCTAGGAATACACAAGTGATCAGAAACATAAAGTGCCTATCCTCACAGCACTTACATTCTAACCTCATCTCTCACCAAGTACCATACAGGATAGCAATACCAGGCTCTCTGCCATTCTTTGAACACTTTCACTCCTTCTACATACTTACTGAGCACTTATTCTTTAAGGCAGGCAAATGAGGGCAACTGGCTCAGTGGGTAGGGGGCCAGCACCATATACCGAGGGTGACCAGGTGGAACCTGGCCTGGCCAACTAAAACAGCAGTGGTAACTGCAACAAAAATAGTCGAGTGGCAGGCATCTGTAGTCCCAGCAACTTGGGAGGCTAAGGCAAAAGAATCGCCCTAGCCCAAGAGCTATAGGCTGCTGTGACGTCACGGCACTCTACCCAGGGTGACAAAGTGAGATTCTATCTTAAAAAATAAAGAAAAAAAAAGGCAGGCAACTGATAGGTAGGAGGAAAACAAAGGTAAGAAATGCAAAGTCCTGGCTCAGCGCTCATAGCACAGTGGTTACAGCGCCAGGCACAGACACTGAGGGTGGCGGGTTTGAACCGGCTGGGGCCAGCTAAAGAACAATGACAACTGAAACAAAAAATAGCCAGGCAGCGTGGCGGGCGCCTATAGTCCCAGCTACTTGGGAGGCTGAGGCAAGAGAATCGCTTAAGCCCAAGAGCTGGAGGTTGCTGTGAGCTGTGACAGCACAGCACTCTACCTAGGGCGACATAGACACTGTCTCAAAAAAAAAAAAAAAGAAAGAAAGACACAGTCCTTTCCTCTAGCAGCTCACCTATGACACCTTTACTCCTTTTTCCTCTCTACCTGACAAATTCCAGAGAATTAATGGGCTTTCTCCTCCTGCTCACTACTTACACCTCTTCGGCCATCCTACAGCAGTTCACACATATCTCATTATTCAAAGTGTGGTCCTTAAACTGCCAGCATCACCTAAGAACTTGTTAGAAATCCAGAAGCTAAGATCTTTACTCAATCGGAATCTACATTTTAACAAGGACCCTGGATGAATCATAGGCATGTTAAAGTTCTATAAGCACTTAATCCAGCACACTTAAGCTGTCCAATATTGTCGACCGAGGTGGACGTCCAGCATCTAGCAAGGTACCTAGGTGACAATAAAGAATAATGCGAACTAAGCTTGCTTAACTCCCTAATGAGCAGTTAGGCCGGCCTCACCTGGACTGACAAAGGGCAGGTCCCTCCCCTCTTCCACGCCCTCTCCTGCAGTTCCCACGCCAGCCCCCGCCCCACCCCTCCCGACACCTTATTCCAGAGTCTCAGGGCGAAGTCCCGGGCCGGCCCGCTGAGGTCCAAGGTATCGGTGTCTCGTAGTCGCTGCACGAATTCCTCGGCCGACGCGCAGCGCTGTGCTGTACCGATCAGAAACTGAGCAACGTGCCGCTCGCTCAGCCCCAGCACCGAGTGCAGCTCGTCCTGAACCCAGCGCTCCAGGCCCGCTGGCGTCGCCATGGCGACCGGCGCTCTCAGCTCCTAGCCCCGAAGTGTCCAGAGCAGCCGAGCTGGCGGTCGAGCCGGTCAGAGGCCTGGAGCCTGTGGCCAGAGCTTCAGCTCCGGAAGAGAACTGCCTTTTGAGCTCTGGATTCCTTCTGCGACAACACCAAGCCTTCTTCCCGCAACGCAGAGCCCGGAAGGAACTGTGCTTTTCTGGCCCAAGCACTACGGTGGCCGAGCAAGTCCAAACTTTATGGAACGGTACCAGAATACATTTTCCCTCATTTCTACCTCCATCCAATCTCTCTGCTGCCCCCTGATGGTCATTCTGTGAGTCCTTCACTCACACGTTCATTCAACGAAGAAATGAGCGCGTAATGTGTGCTCATTCATTGTTTTCAATCGCTGGACAGAGATCGCAGAGAACAAATCAGACAAAAAATTCCTTATCGGCTCAGCGCTCGTAGCACAGTGGTTATGGCGCCAGCCACATACAAATAGGGTGGCGGGTTCGAACCCCGCCCGAGCCAGCTAAACAATGACAACTGCAACAAAAAATAGCCGGGCATTGTGGCAGGCGCCTGTAGTCCAGTCCTAGGTACTTGGGAGGCTGAGGCAAGAGAATCGCTTAAGACCAAGAGTTTGAGGGTTTTGTGAGCTGTGACGCCATGGCACTTTACCGAGGGCTACAAAGCGAGACTCTGTCTCAAAAAAAAAAAAAAATCCTTATGAGTTTACATTTGGGAGTGGAAGGAGATAAGATACATAATAAATACGTAAGTTTTATGGAGCCAAAAATAATGCAAGGTAAGTGGGGGGTCGGGGCGCAGATTTGATTTTTAATAGGAAAATCGTTGGGCGGCCCCTGTGGTTCATTGGGTAGGGCGCCAGCCCCATATACCGAGGGTGGCGGGTTCAAACCCAGCCCCGGCCAAACTGTAACAAAAAATAGCAGGGCGTTGTGGCCGGCGCCTGTAGTCCCAGGTACTTGGGAGGCTGAGGCAAGAGAATCGCTTAAGCCTAGGAGTTGGAGGTTGCTGTGAGTGGTGTTAACACCACGGCACTCTACCAAGGGCGATATAGTGAGACTCTGTCTCTATAAATAAATAAATAAATAAATAAATAAATAAATTGAAAGATCTCCAGTGGCTCAAGCCTGTAAATTTAGCCACTCTAGGAGGCCAAGAGGGGTGGATCATTTTAGCTCAGGGCTTCAAGACCAGCCTGAGCAAGAGTGAGACCTGGCCTCTTCTAAAAATAAAAAATAGAAAAACTGGCTCGGCGCCTGTGGCTCAAGCGGCTAAGGCGCCAGCCACATACACCTAAGGTGGCAGGTTCGAATCCCCAGCCCGGGCCCGCCAAACAACAATGAGGGCTGCAACCAAAAAATAGCCAGGTGTTGTGGCGGGCGCCTGTGGTCCCAGCTACTTGGTAGGCTGAGGCAGGAGACTCGCTTGAGCCCAGGAGTTGGAGGTTGCTGTGAGCAGTGATGCCATGGCACTCTACCTAGGGGGATAGCTTGAGGCTCTGTCTCAAAAAAAAAAAAAAATAGAAAAACTAGCTGAGCGTCGTGGCAGTCACCTGTCGACCCAGCTACTCCAGAGGCTGAGACGAGACAGCACGTACTCTAACCTGGGGCAACAGAGTGAGACTGTCTCAAAAAAACAATAAACAAACAGGCTTGGCTGTGCCTGTAGCTCTAGCGGCTGGGGCGCCAGCCACATACTCTAGAGCTGGTGGGTTCCAATCCAGCCCGGGCTTGCCAAACAACAATGACAACTGCAACCAAAGAATGGCCAGCCCTTGTGGAGGGTGCCTGTGATCCCAGTTGCTTGAGAGGCTGAGGCAGGAGAATCTCTTAAGCCCTAGAGTGTGAGGTTCCTGTGAGTTGTGATGCCACCGCACCCTACTAAGGGCGACCTAGTGAGACTCTGTCTCAAAAACAAATAAAAACAACAACAAACAAAAAACATGAAATTGGAAAATCGGGTTCATTTACTAGAATTGGTCCCAGCTGCAGTAGTGAATACAGGTTAGTCATAGAACTTTGAATCAAGAAGAAACTTGGAAACTGCATAAAGTTGTTAAAGAAATAAATACCAAACTAAAAAATGGGCAAACTGTATTCTAAATATTTGCTAACAGCTTGAGAAATTCTCTGGTGGCTGCTTATTTTAAAATAAACCAAAAAATGGTTCGGCACATGTGGCTCAAGCAGCTAAGGTGCCAGCCACATACACCTGCGCTGGTGGGTTTGAATCCAGCCCAGGCCCGCCAAACAAGGATGACACTGCAACGATAACAACAAAAAACAGCCAGAGATTGTGGCAGGTGCCTGTAGTCCCAGCTCCTTGGAAGGCAGAGGCAGGAGAATTGCTTGAGCCCAGGAGTTGGAGGTTGCTGTGAGCTGTGATGCCATGACACTCTACCCAGGGCAACAGCTTGAGGCTCCATCTCAAAAAGAAATAAAAAAGCCAAAAAAATAAAAAATAAATAAATAAAAAAGAAGGCTCAGTGCCCGTAGCTCAGTGGTTGGGGCACCAGCCACATACACCAGGGCTGGTGGGTTCTAACCCAGCTGGGCCTACTGGACAACAATGACAACAACAAAATAGCTGGGCGTTGTGGCAGGTGCCTGTGGTCACAGCTATTTGGGAGGCTGAGGCAAGAGAATCACTTAAGCCCATGTGTTTGAGATTGCTGCGAGCTGTGGTGCCACAGCATTCTACCGAGGGCAGCACAGTGAAACTTTCTCAAAAATAAATAAATAATTAATTAATTAATTAAAATAAGCCGAACTTGCTACTTGCCGTTCTGCCGTCCATCTCTGTTTAACCCTGCTTCATACTTTTTTTTTTTGGAGACAGAGTCTCAAGCTTGTTGCCCTGTGTAGAGTGCTTGGCATCACAGCTCACAGCAACCTCTAACTCTTGGGCTTAAGCTATTCCCTTGCCTCAGCCTCCCAAGTAGCTGGGACTACAGGAGTCCACCACAATGCCCAGCTATTGTTTTGTTGTTGTTGTTGTTGTAGTTGTCATTGTCTGGCAGGCCGGAGCTGGATTTGAACCCGTCAGCTCTGGTGTATGTGGCTGGCGCCCTAGAAACTGAGCTACAGGTGCCTAGCCACCTGCTTCATACTTAATGATTAGTTGGACTTGTTATACACTTTTTTTTTTTTTTT